ATTAATGTATGTATTTTATTTCTTTATGGGAGAAATTTATGTAAATATCCTCCATAATTATTATTATTTAAAATCTGCTTTAAAAGCTAATACTTACTTTCATACCTATTTTTCAACTTTTTTTTTTTTTTTTTCCAAATTGCCCTATTTCGGATCTTCAACATTGGAAGTATATAGGATAAGCTTAGGACATTTAAAGGTCCACAGTTCTCCTAGGACAACGTCAGAGTGGCTCCTGGGAAATAGGATCTAGAAGCATCTTGGGATCTTCAAGGTAAGAACTTGCAAGATTCTAATATTGAAGGTCCCAAAATTTTCTTAGATCCTAGAAGCGACCTGGGCATTGCCAAGAAGTGGTTTGAGATGCCTAAGTGGCTCTTGGGATCCAAGATCAACCTAGAACCTTCAAGGTCCAAACTTATAGATCTTCTGACCATGAAGGCCCTAAGTTTTTGAGAAACAACTTAAAATGTATGCCATACACCAAACTTATATATGTAGTAATCCCTTAGTTAAACTTCGGAACTTGAAATAATGGGAATTAACAGGGATGTGCATATAAATTTCTCTTCTTTTTTCTGAAAAAAAAAACAATAACTATGACATTCTTGATATCGTAATTACACTCTTGGAAATGAAAAGCATGCAGATCATTCGGTCACAAGGTCTCCATACATACACAAAAATAAGCGGAATTTTTTTATTTATTTATTTCTGTATATATTTTCCAGATATAAATAAATATGATGATGGATTGCTTTTTCGTTATAAAATTATGAATTGCTGCTTTTATTTTTTAAAGCTTTCGATTTTAAAGTAAAGGATATGAAAAATATTTTTATCACTACACAGTAGAGATATAATAGATAAGGCTTAATAAATTCTGAAAATTATATGAATTCCCTCAAATTAGTACTTCTTAATTAAGTTAAGGAAAACTTATGCAATTCTCGATAAAAAATACAAACACTATAATGTCCTCCTAAAACTTCAATAATAATTGAAAAATGATAATTGTTGCGAAGGTTTGACACCAATGAAAATCTATAGAAGAGAGTGAGTTTGGGTTTTAGAGCATAATAAAATAGTTATAGGGGAAAAAATTAAAGAAAATTACCTATAATGTAAATAACTAATGGGATTGTATATAATGAGACCATTTACCTTTTCTACAAGGTGGTCACAATAATGTACAACTATCCGATGTGAAATCTGAAGCTTAGGTGTGTCACAAAGTTCGAAAAAATTTATTTTGAACTTTGAATTTGGTCAATGAAATAAATGCAGCCATCCAACTTCACATCTAATGATCAAGATTAATTATGACCACCTTATACCAAAGGTAAATAGTCTCATTATATATTTCACACACACACACACACACACACACTATATATATATATAGG